CTACAATTACGCCTCATTAAGACAGCTTCTGGTTGCTCTTTAGAGTTTCTCGAAAACTGGTTTTCCAGAAGACCGGTCTTTGAAGACCTAACAGCAGCATTCATGGTGATATTCGGAATCAGCATCGGCGACTACCTATAGTCCACTCGGTTTCGTTGAAAAAGCGATTTATCAGTTGGGGTACTTCCCTCGTCAGACATTTTAATGTACCCCTTATATTCAGTTATAAAAATTTATGGTCACAATGCAATCCAGAAAAATTAAGGTGTTCTTCTATTAGTGTGTTTATTCATACTGATTTAAGGAATTAGCAGCTTAAATTATTTGATATTGCACAATTTCTTTCTTTGATATCTTCATTTCTTTCCTTTATTCCACTTTTGATATCAAAATCCATAATGAACTACTGTATGTGTGCAGACGAAGAAAAAACTTTTCGTCGCCAATTTCGAAATTTTTCAGTCTCACGCCTCTCGCGGCCAGGCAAAACTCAAACGTCGCCGCAGAACATTTTTTACCACATGTCTGTGTGTGTATCATTGTTGAGTGGAAGACAACAATAAAAGCAGAATTTAAAGTAAAGCCAATTAAGACTGTGTTTAACTTATTATTGAACATCGCTTATTGATCTTAAACTACGTACCTGCCTGCAATCGTAATATAATGAATGTGTTTTATTTTAGCATGAAAAAGCTGCGTAATCGTTCATTTAACGGCATCAGCGATTTTCCCCAAGAAATAATCGTTGGCAGTTCAGCGGAAGAATAAGCCAAATCAAATATTTTTACTTTGTTCGTCAGATATTTTCTTAAATATTCAGTCAAATATTTATTCAGAATAATAGTTAGTCAAACACTCAATATTTAGTCTTCTTTTTTTGCTCAAGTTTCTTGTGTGCTTTTCTTGTATAGTCACAATCTCACTGTTTCACTTTTTTTCTTGTTTTTCGAAAAATTTTTTTATATTAATAAACTTATCATGTTTACTGCACCCTATGTGGAAAGTCAATTTACATCATTGATAGCTGACTCCCAGCGTTACATTCTGACACATGAAAAAATTCATGATTTTAGGCATCTTCGTCAAGCATGGCCTGCCTTCGTCGGGCTTCTATTACCAGTCTCATTGGACTTAGTTATTGTTCGATCTTTTGCTCCTTTGTTTATTAGTTCTTAGGCACAAATTTTTTATATGTATGTTTTTGTTGTGTCGAAGCATTTACGCCAACTTATAATAAAATATAGTGAGTCAAATTTGTGCAATTGACGAATGTTCATGAGTAAGTCTCTAACTTAGAGAGCTTTTCTTTCTTTAGACATAAATGCATGCTCTAGTAGAAACTTACGCCTACAGTCCTGTATCTCATCAATAGTGTATTATCGATACTATTCTATATCTCATTTCTATTATTCGAGTACAGTGAAAATATCTTCTGATGTATTGTTTAGCCTTGAAAATATGTACTCAATTCTTATTTGTGTGCGTTTCTTGTACATGGTTTCTTACGTCAATAAACCCACCGCCTCCCCTAGCTCCACCATTCACGACTAAATTGCGTCATGAAACGGAGATTAATCTTATTCTTGCATTTAGATCAAAATCACAATGAAATAATTCTTTGATTAACTAATTATCTATTACCCAGTGGGTTTTTTTCTGTGCTAAATTATCTTTTGGATGCGTTTTTGCTAAAATATATAAACGCATTTGAATGCGTATTTTTGAAAAAATATGTTCAGAATGTTCAAGATTTTGTTAAAAAAATCGCGTCTAGGCTCGTTTTAATATCTGTCTGCCGCGTCCCGCGCCTCAATATTGATTTTGTCGTTGCTAATTATTCCGACAAAACGCGTCTGAATGATAATTATCTCCATTTTGTTTCATTCAATTATTCGGCTTTTAACAGATGACTCGAAACAAACACGTTCGGACGCACCCCATCTTGTGGACTCGAGTGGACGCGTCTCAGATATGGTAGTCGCCCAAACGCAGTTTAATGACCTTGTGAAAAACGTGTCTGGACGGGTTTTCTAAAACTTTCGCAGCCGTTATATAACTGGGCGTGTTTTTTAGCAACTTGAAGATCGATTAAAGGACGTTATTCCATTGACAAGCTGTTTGGCTCACTTTGTCTACTGACTATACAACGTTCGCTTCTAAATAGATGGAAAATACTTAGAAAAAACTCTTTATATAGATCCGATCTCGCACAAATTACGCTTGTTACAAATTTATCTCTTTTTCCTCCATTTTTGAAGCTATTTGCCTTTTTAGCCGCCAAGCTATTCCAGTTTCTGACTATTCCATCAGGTCGAACAATTCCAGTACTACAAAAATGACTATCTGTTTCATTCTGTATGAGCGTGAGTACCACGATGTCAAAAATTATCCAAAACAAAAATGTTGTTTAAAAAACTAATTGTTTTTTCAACGAAACACGCGGTTTTTCGTTATCCGGCTATGGCACTGTTTTTATTTGTTCATACTAATAAACAACAGAATAAGAGCAAGTAGACGCGTTTTTTCTGATAGTATCATACGGAATGCGTTCAGACGCGTGTTTACTTGAAATATTCATTGATGGAAAGCATTTTGACGTGTTTGCTTTCATCAAACGGACGGGTGCGAACGGTTTTTTCGGTAGAACCCGTTAAAACGCGTGAGGACGCTGCATCCCAAAGGAAAAAAAAACAGTGAATAGTTTAAATCGTTTTCTGGATTGAATTACCACATTCATTCCTTTCATTAGATGTACCTGTTGTGTGACCATTGATGTTACTAGTAGATCATGATTTCTTAATTTTTTGGGTTTATTTAAAGTATTTGCACAAATTTTTGGTTGTTTATTGACTTGAGAAACCATGTACAAGAAACGCACACAAATAAGAATTGAGTACACATTTTCAAGACTAAACAATTCATCAGAAGATATTTTCACTGTACTCGAATAATAGAAATGAGATATAGAATAGTATCGATAATACACTATTGATGAGATACAGGACTGTAGGCGTAAGTTTCTACTAGAGCATGCATTTACGTCTAAAGAAAGAAAAGCTCTCTAAGTTAGAGACTTACTCATGAACATTCGTCAATTGCGCAAATTTGGCTCACTATCATATTGCTCGAACTATGTTTACATTAAACTTCAAGTAATCGCTTATCGGATTACACTAAGAGAGTGGAGATACATACTTTTAATCAGTACTATAATTTTGTGCAAAATGTCAAAGCAAATACTTTTAGAATACGAATTTCATCACTTCAACGCATAACGACCGATATCACTAATTTTTCCGTATTTTTAAATCCTGATTTCAAGGGAAAAGTAGATCTTCACCAGTTATTGTTCATGCGCTACAACTAACTCTTACACTAGACAGTGAATTGCGCTGCCATTGTATCAGTTTTACTGCGAACAGCTAAATCAATAATATTATCACGATAAGGTAAACAAATTTTCAAAATTCAAGCAGCAACCATTTTTACAAACACAATAAATGCTATTTACGCTAGATCTCCCCTTCAAGTAAAGTAACTTACATTCAGATCGGGTTAGGTGATTTTCATCATTTTATTCGTTTTCGTTGTTTTATGCTCTGAGCTGTAAGTACACAATAAATACAAGTGAATTTTTTCAACTCAAAGCCATTTACTTATGAATTCGTCAACATGTGTGCTATTTATTCGTAAAAAATATGGTTTATATTTACAAAAAATAATAAACAATAAACAACGTTAAATGACAAATAATCTGACCAAATACTATTTTTTATTTCTGAACAGGCTCCTAGTTACTCAATTTTTTCGATGAATTCATCCTCATCATCGATAATACTCTTGTTCGAATACTGATTCAGTTTTTCTAAGTGTTTTTTATAGTGTTTTTCTAAGCGTGTAAAACCTAATTTTAAACTTGCATAAACAATCAACAATTCTAGTGTTAATATAGCACAAGCATAAATTATATCTTTTTGTAAATCTTGAATGTTTATTTGATTTTTTAACTGTAACATATCTCTGTAAGTGGCTTCCGACTGGAAAAATCCCATTAGAAATATAAACCAGTGAAATGTATGATGGGACTGTCCAATTAAATCAAATGTACCTGGATGAAAGCGCTCCGGAAATTTCAACACAAATAGTGTACCACTAGCTAAAAAATATTAGGAAAAATGTTACTTTCATCTATAAATTAACGTTTAATGATAGCAGACCTATCATATTTATTATTTTGTTCAAGTTTTGAATGATTTTATTCTAATTCATCAAAAGAATAAACACTTACCAATAAATGCTAGAATTTCTGCCAAATGCCATTTTAACGATGACCTACAGTTATAACAGACGATTATTTGCAATACAATTGGCCATATTTGATAGACATAAACAAGTAGAACGCCGGAACATTGTAATATTTTATGAATAAATGGATACGGACGACGATAATAAAATTTACAAAAACAAGCTATCGATAGAGAATAGAGCGATAAACATGATAATAATGAATAGTAGATTGACTCGTTAAATAATTCATTAACAATATCGACACGTGAAAAACGATAATGAACAATTCCACTAATAAAACCATAAAAGTTAATGCCTAAACGAGGCACAATTATTTATTCAAGTCCTTGAAGCCTTTAAAAACGATAAATTAATATCAAATGTCTTAATTTGAAAGCGTATCTGAATCGTAATAGTTTTGATGAAGTGAGATTGGCATGTGCATGGGAAAATAATCTTACAAACGGTTAAATCGGTGATTTTAGATGGATTTTCAGATGTTAGTTGAACTATGCTAATTTTAAGTAGTCTTTCTCTGCTCTAGTTGCCATTTTTGATTGAATCGTTTACTTTGATGTCAGCTAATATTTTGATAGAATATTTTTGTCCGATTTTTAGAAAACCATTTAGAAAATCCACTTTTTGGCATTTTCTAAGTATGCCAAACTCCAGTATTTATTCAGTTTTGCACCCTCTTTTTAACCGCATTATTAAGCTATTATTAGATCCATGTAAATGCAACGTATTCAATTTTCTAAAAAGTTGCGTTTTCATTTAATTTAAGAGCCATTAAGTGAAATATGAAATTTACAAAACGTACCGCTAACATATCTATGCGAGTTACTATAATAACTCTGGTATACCATCGAAAAACTTTTCTACTCAAATACTATATTTTCAGCAAAATGTAATTAGTGTGAAAAAGTAGTGGAAGAAACCCTATATAGAAATAAATTAAAATTTCTTAGAAATGATCAGAGCATCGTTGAAAACCTTCAAGATACGAGATTTATAAAAATTTAGTTGGATCATTTGTTAGAACATTTCTGCGTACAACACTCTACAAATTTTTTCTTAATCTACACTTGTACCGCATCGGTGCACATCAGTATGGAATGATATGTTTTGTTTGGCACAAATGCGTACTGGTGCCAAACTAGTGAATTTTTCTGTACTAGATCGGTGGCACACAAATGCCGATAAAAATATTTTTTTGTTGAGGAATATAGTAAAGAAATTTTCAAGTTTCGAACTGGTGTTCATCAGTGTCAGAAAAATCTATTATTCTTGCATCGGTATGCAGCTATGCCAAAATTTTGTTTGCAATCACTATTTTGCTTTGTGAACATCCGCGTATATAAACACTACAGTATACTCCTAGTATTTCTAATGTCTTGTTGACTTCATTGTTTCCTTCTCATAAGAGAAGTGCCGAGGGAATGTCATATGATTATCGCATGGGAACTGATACCTATACGAGTGTCGCATTTTAATTCATAAAAAACTAGGTAAAAGTAAATGTAATAAGAAATAATTACTGACTAAATAAATGTCAACGCCTCGCTGAGAATTTTTTTTGTAAATGCAGTATTGAATTCTAGTAATATGGCATCGTTTTTGGAGTAAAAGACTTAGTAAGATACTTTTAAGAAGTGTCCAAGATTCTTACTGGGGAAAGTTGTTGCGCAAAGAACTCAGGACTGAAAAACATTTATCTCATACATTGAGGGCTGAAAAAAGCCTGGACTTTTTTATTTTTACACATAAACGAATAGCAAGGATATTCTTAAAATTTTCTCTTATATCTATTGTTGTAGAGCTTTTATCGCTGATCATTTCTGTAAACAAATTTTTTGATTTTCATTGAGTAATGACAATGTTATAGTCAAAATACTAAACACTGTAGTAAAATGTAGGGGAAAAGTAGAGCACATTTTTAGTGTTTGGCTAATTTTTACGTTATTTCACAACATCTGAAAGTTGTTCTATATACCATTTGATGCAGAATTTAATGGGCTACATTTTGGTAAAAAGTAATTATACTTATATTGTGGTTAATTAATTAATTAATATTTAATTATTAATTAATAATAATTAGCAATTACTTAATAAAATTTTAATTTTTTTAAAATTCCAACTCTATCATTCGAAAGAGCATAAAAAACTGAACAAAACTCTAATATTATCATTTGGAAAGCAAC